TGTAGAATCATCTCTCAGTGACGCTTTGTGTGAGCGGAATCATCTCTCAGTGACGCTTTGTGTGAGTAGAATCATCTCTAAGTGACGCTTTGTGTGAGCAGAATCATCTCTCAGTGACGCTTTGTGCGAGTAGAATCATCTCTCAGTGACGCTGTGTGTGAGTGGAATCATCTCTCAGTGACGCTTTTTGTGAGCGGAATCATCTCTCAGTGACGCTTTGTGTGAGCAGAATAATCTCTCAGTAACGCTTTGTGTGAGCGGAATCATCTCTCAGTGACGCTGTGTGTGAGTAGAATCATCTCTCAGTGACGCTTTGTGTGAGCGGAATCATCTCTCAGTGACGCTTTGTGTGAGCGGAATCATCTCTCAGTAACGCTTTGTGTGAGCGGAATCATCTCTCAGTGACGCTGTGTGTGAGTAGAATTATCTCTCAGTGACGCTGTGTGTGAGTAGAAGCATCTCTCAGTGACGCTTTGTGTGAGCGGAATCATCTCTCAGTGACGCTGTGTGTGAGCAGAATCATCTCTCAGTGACGCTTTGTGTGAGCGGAATCATCTCTCAGTGACGCTTTGTGCGAGTAGAATCATCTCTCAGTGACGCTTTCTGTGAGCGGAATCATCTCTCAGTGACGCTTTGTGTGAGCAGAATCATCTCTCAGTGACGCTTTGTGTGAGTAGAATCATCTCTCAGTGACGCTTTGTGTGAGCAGAATCATCTCTCAGTGACGCTTTTTGTGAGCAGAATCACCTCTCAGTGACGCTTTCTGTGAGTAGAATCATCTCTCAGTGACGCTTTGTGTGAGTAGAATCATCTCTCAGTGACGCTTTGTGTGAACGGAATCATCTCTCAGTGACGCTTTGTGCGAGTAGAATCATCACTCAGTGACGCTGTGTGTGAGTAGAATCATCTCTCAGTGACGCTTTGTGTGAGCGGAATCATCTCTCAGTGACGCTGTGTGTGAGTAGAATCATCTCTCAGTGACGCTTTGTGCGAGTAGAATCATCTCTCAGTGACGCTTTGTGTGAGCGGAATCATCTCTCAGTGACGCTCTGTGTGAGTAGAATCATCACTCAGTGACGCTGTGTCAGCAGAATAATCTCTCAGTGACGCTGTGTGAGCAGAATCACCTCTCATTGACGCTTTGTTTGAGCAGAATGATCTCTCAGTGACGCTTTGTGTGAGTAGAATCATCTCTCAGTGACGCTTTGTGTGAGCAGAATCATCTCTCAGTGACGCTTTGTGTGAGCAGAATCATCTCTCAGTGACGCTTTGTGTGAGCGGAATCATCTCTCAGTGACGCTTTGTGTGAGTAGAATCATCTCTCAGTGACGCTTTGTGTCAGCGGAATCACCTTAGTGACGCTTTTTGTGAGCGGAATCATCTCTCAGTGACGCTTTGTGTGAGCGGAATCATCTCTCAGTGACGCTTTGTTTGAGCGGAATCATCTCTCAGTGACGCTTTTTTGAGCAGAATCATCTCTCAGTGACGCTTTCTGTGAGCAGAATCACCTCTCAGTGACGCTTTGTGTGAGCGGAATCATCTCTCAGTGACGCTTTGTGTGAGCGGAATCATCTCTCAGTGACGCTTTGTGTGAGCAGAATCATCTCTCAGTGACGCTTTGTGCGAGTAGAATCACCTCTCAGTGACGCTTTCTGTGAGCAGAATCACCTCTCAGTGACGCTTTGTGAGAGCGGAATCATCTCTCAGTGACGCTTTGTGTGAGCGGAATCATCTCTCAGTGACGCTTTGTGTGAGCAGAATCATCTCTCAGTGACGCTGTGTGAGTAGAATCATCTATCAGTGACGCTTTGTGTGAGCGGAATCATCTCTCAGTGACGCTTTGTGTGAGTAGAATCATCTCTCACTGACGACATGCGATTTTTTTCTCAAAAACACCTTGATACATTCCTTTAGCAGTTAAAGTGACATTTAGCATTCAGGTGTTAGATGGACGTACTTTGGCTTAATTTACTATTCTGTTTAAACTGCATATGAACTGATGAATGGACTAAAAAGAATATTTTCCAGTAGTCATTTTTTTTACATTTTAGGTCTTTAATTGGGGGTATTTGGTTTTATATTAATTTAATAATGTTATATAAAATACTGAATGGTTTCCTAAAATTCCTATTGATCAATATTAGTAGTTACCAATAATCAAACTGGACAGTTATTGAGAGTACTACATACACAACACAACACCCAGATTATTCCTGCTTCCTGCATTCAAAAACTGCATGACCTTGGGACCTATTTTGGCAAATTTGGCTCGCACGCACGAACGCACGCACGCACGCACGAAATCACACATTTAAATAAAAAATATTCTGATATGACCTTTAGAAAAGTTAAATATCAGAACCGATCCGGGACGAGCGTTGTATTTACTTTGCGAACGCTGGGGTCAAAGCAGGCACACAGGTCAGCAAGCATCCCACTTTTCAGATCTGTGTAAATAAAAGCCTAATTCTGAAGTAATTCTGGGAAATGTTTTCCTCTTGTAATAGCGTAACGCTGTGATGATGGACAAACAGTACGCTCAGACCTGATCGTCCTGCAGCTGACTGTATGGCCATATATTCCGTTGAGTGTACTATTAGTAATCGTAGCCGACAAAAAAACCCATCTTGTCGATTACTGACATCAAATGATTCAAGGGAAATACATTTTCCCACATAATCGCTATTTCGAGAGAGACAGGCGAAGAGACAGTGCTGATACGCTCGGGGCTAAGCAGTGTTGTTATCTCGAGACAATGCTGATACGTCCGTGCTAACTGTACAGTGACGTTATGTCAAGACAGTGCTGATACGTCCGGGGCTAAACAGTTACAGTGACGTTATGTCGAGACAGTGCTGATACGTCCGGGGCTAAACAGTTACAGTGACGTTATGTCGAGACAATGCTGATACGCCCGGGGCTAAACAGTTACAGTGACGTTATGTCGAGACAGTGCTGATACGTCCGGGGCTAAACAGATACAGTGACGTTATGTCAAGACAGTGCTGATACGTCCGGGGCTAAACAGATACAGTGACGTTATGTCAAGACAGTGCTGATACGTCCGGGGCTAAACAGTTACAGTGACGTTATGTCAAGACACTGCTGATACGTCTTGGGCTATACAGTGACGTTATGCCGATACAGTGCTGATACGCCCGGGGCTAAACAGTTACAGTGAAATTATGTCAAGACAGTGCTGGTACGTCTGGGCTAAACAGTTACAGTGACGTTATGACAAGACAGTGCTGATACGCCCGGGGCTAACCACTTACAGTGACGTTATGTCAAGACAGTGCTGATACGTCTTGGGCTATACAGTGACGTTATGTCAAGACAGTGCTGATACGTCTTGGGCTATACAGTGAAATTATGTCAAGACAGTGCTGGTACGTCCGGGGCTAAACAGTTACAGTGACGTTATGTCAAGACAGTGCTGATACGTCTTGGGCTATACAGTGACGTTATGCCGAGACACTGCTGATACGTCTTGGGCTATACAGTGACGTTATGCCGAGACACTGCTGATACGTCTTGGGCTATACAGTGACGTTATGCCGAGACACTGCTGATACGTCTTGGGCTAAACAGTTACAGTGACGTTATGTCAAGACAGTGCTGGTACGTCCGGGCTAAACAGCTACAGTGACTTTATGTCAAGACACTGCTGATACGTCTTGGGCTATACAGTGACGTTATGCCGAGACACTGCTGATACCTCTTGGGCTATACAGTGACGTTATGCCGAGACACTGCTGATACGCCCGGGGCTAAACAGCTACAGTGACTTTATGTCAAGACAGTGCTGATACGTCCGGGGCTAAACAGTTACAGTGACGTTATGCCGAGACACTGCTGATACGTCTTGGGCTAAACAGTTACAGTGAAATTATGTCAAGACAGTGCTGGTACGTCCGGGGCTAAACAGTTACAGTGACGTTATGTCAAGACAGTGCTGATACGCCCGGGGCTAAACAGTTACAGTGACGTTTTGTCAAGACAGTGCTGATACATCCGGGGCTAAACAGTGACGTTATGTCAAGACTGTGCTGATACGTCTTGGGCTATACAGTGACGTTTTGTCAAGACAGTGCTGATACATCCGGGGCTAAACAGTTACAGTGACGTTATGTCAAGACAGTGCTGATACGCCCGGGGCTAAACAGTTACAGTGACGTTTTGTCAAGACAGTGCTGATACATCCGGGGCTAAACAGTGACGTTATGTCAAGACTGTGCTGATACGTCTTGGGCCATACAGTGACGTTATGTCAAGACAGTGCTGATACGTCCGGGCTAAACAGTTACAGTGACGTTATGTCAAGACAGTGCTGATACGCCCGGGGCTAAACAGTTACAGTGACGTTTTGTCAAGACAGTGCTGATACATCCGGGGCTAAACAGTGACGTTTTGTCAAGACAGTGCTGATACATCCGGGGCTATACAGTGACGTTATGTCGAGATAGTGCTGATACGTTTTCGTTATGGGCTATACAGTTACAGTGACGTTATGTCGAGACACTGCTGATACGGCCGGGGCTAAACAGTTACAGTGACGTTATGTCAAGACAGTGCTGATACGTCTGGGCTAAACAGTTACAGTGACGTTATGTCAAGACAGTGCTGATACGTCTGGGCTAAACAGTTACAGTGACGTTATGTCAAGACAGTGCTTTCAAGTCTGGGGTTGAACAGTGACGTTATGTCAAGACAGTGACGTTAACACGGTCTCACTATGGTGGTAGATAATACGTTTCAATGAATAATCTGTTAATTGCTGACGACGTTGAATTCGTGCTTTTAAGATGGTCTGTAATCTTTGAAAACTGAATTCGAAAAGTTACCAAGTATATTTCTTATCAGAATTTATGTCGTATATGCATTCACGTGAAAAGCAATATTCAATGTATCAATACAATGCATTAAAACAATACTCAATCATGAAGCGCTATGAAACTTACGAGGCATTGATAATCATTGATGAGATATGGTGTACTTACCTGATCGCTGCTGTGTTGTAAATAGATCCTAATCAGATATACGTAGGGTCCCTTGAAGACGAGAGATAATGCAAAGGAGACGTCTTAGACGGCAGATGCGGCCTTTTATATGTAGGACGACGGGTACGAGTCATTGCAATAAGCCTTGCATCATGGCTGCAAGGACTTGCGAATTATCAGTACCGTGTGTATGAAAGGAGCCACGCCTGTGTGTACCCGAAACCAGGGGCGATAATTAGCAAAGCCTGATTACGAAGTGTTTAAACCAGCATTTGATTGGTTCAAATTGCACAAGATGAAAAACACGTGGGATCTGATACCACCATTGGTCAAACAATCTCCGGCATTGCCTCGCGCGCACACCGTAGTGAAGTCTGGCGAATTTAAAACAAACAGAGGCAGGCCTACATCTTATTTGCCCTTTTATAATTACTGGAATTTTGCGCGTACCTTGTGCGACAGCGAATACAGTTGTGAATTATCTGTGAAAGTGCTGGGGTTGTGTGTTTGCTGATAGGTGATAGGTGAGGACCGATGTGTAAGAAAACTTGATTTCGACACTTTCTGCAGGGCAGGTCAATGTGGTAAGCTGTCCCCAGGACCTGTCTATTCATCCGCCATGCCGTAACACGTAGATAGGTCCGTCTATCCAGTGCTACATTCAGGTGCGAGTGATACCATGCGTTACTAACGGTTAAACTCGGAGGTGCAACTGTCATGTTTTAAACATTTGTCGAGAATCTCAGTAACCAAGCCCGTTTGTAGGTTCCTTGCTAACCGACTTCCATGCACGTAGACTAAAAAACGCCAGTTTCATTCAAACTTGAACAACTCTGACACCATCATGGAACATTCTTCAGCTTGCTAGCTTAACCCCTGTAGTGTCGCTGTCTCAGACAAACTACACGCAGGTGTCAAAATATTTTCTGCAAGCGAAGACATATTTCTCCTTTAACTATTCAAGTTCTTATTCAGTCATATTAAAAAAGACAAAACACGTTTGAATAATGAATAGAAGATTCCAAGTACATCTGAGTTTTCAAGCGATTACAATGCACGTTTGACGTCAAGACTCAAAATGACGAATTACACGAACTTTCCCTCGAGCAGATAATACTTTCAAAACTGTGTGTGTTTAAATAGTCATTTCCTTGTGTACCACACAGACAATAGTTCTGTCTGAATAGGCTCACAACAGCAAAGAATGAATGACCTTCCCGCGATCTCAAATTAACAAAACATTCGGTTAAATATAACAATTGAATATTAATTACTAATGTCTTAAAAAAAGCATTTCTCCAATTATAAGAACCTTTTGAAAACATATGTCTAATATGCGCCCGCCACCCCGAAACTAGCATATTTTCTTGGTGTCCTCCAATGAAGGCAATTTTTCTATCTTGATTTATTTTCAGATATTTCTTATTCATACTGAATACGAAAAATAATTATTTTACTAATTGGGACATATCTGAAATTGTATTAACTATCTTTGTCAGTATCTCAAATAACATCTCAAAATGACGGAAAGTCTGTTCGAGACATGTGAAAGTTAAGTTTTAGAATTACTTTTTGTATTAAAAGAACTGGTCATACAACCGTCGCCCCAATGATGATGACATGACACACACACACACACACACACACACACACACACACACACACACACACACACACACACACACACACACACACACACACACACACACACACACACACACACACACACACAACTGGACGGGAAACATCACTCATGCATGCCTGTAGCTATTCAACATCACCCGTATATTTAAATATTCCATGTACTGATATGCATATGTTTCTAATACCCGTACAATGCCTTTGAGCTAGATAGCATTATGCTTTAGCATTTTCGATGAAACTTTTATATATTGATAATCTATACGATTGCGTGAATGCTGTATAACGCACCAGTCAGCACTTTTCCAACAACCCCAGCTGGCAAATAACGTTGTGCTAATGTTGCGCCCGCCATACTTTGAAGTAAGCTATTTTCCCGACATTTTCACAGTACAAGCCGACCATATCGTATATAGAGGTTATTATCGGAGTTGGTGTCAGTATTGTAAATATCACACACCAGGAGAGTTTTGGCTCCCCAAATGTCATATATTCATATTCCCAATATATGAGGGCGGTCGGGTAGCTTAGTGGTTAAAGCGTTCGTTCCTCACGCCGAAGACCCGGGTTCAATTCCCGACATGGGTACAATGTGTGAAGCCCATTTCTGGTGTGCCCCGCCGTGATATTGCTCGAATATTGCTAAAAGCGGCGTAAAACCATACTCACTCACTCCCAATATATGATACCCAACGAATGAGAGGAATAATCTCCTTTTTCCATAATGTCATTCTTTAAATACTCGAAGTTTAAGATGCACTTTTACTAGATGAATATACCTTGTTATACATGTCTTTGTTTCAGAATTTACCCCACACAGGGAAGCCCTCATGTACCTTTACTGGGACTATCAGGCAGCAGCTTACTGGGCAGTCGGTCACAGCATAGATGTATGGAGCCAAAGAAAAGTATCAGAGGACCTCAGAAACCAAGTTTATCGAATGAGTTCATTACGTTGTTAACACTGTCCAGTATAGCCGATGTCGTGGTTTATTACGTTGTTAATACTGTCCGATGTCGTGGTTCATTACGTTGTTAATACTGTTGTGTTTATTACATTGTTAACACTGTTTTGTATAGCCGGTGTCGTGGTTCATTACGTTGTTAACACTGTCCAATATAGCCCATGTCGGGGTTCATTACGTTGTTAACAATGTCCAGTATAGCCGATGTCATGGTTTATTACATTGTTAACACTGTCTTGTATAGCCGGTGTCATGGTTAATTATGCTGTTAACACTGTCCAGTATAGGTGGTGGCGTGGTTTATTACGTTGTTTACACTGTCCAGGATAGCAGATGTCGTCTTTATTATGTTGTTAACACTGTCCAGTATAGCCGGTGTCACGGTTCATTACTTTGTTAACACTGTCAAGTATAGCCGTACCATGGTTCATGATGTTGTTGACACTGTCCACTATAACCGGTGTCGTGGTTCATTTCGTTGTTAACACTGTCAAGTATAGCGGGCGTCGTTGTTTATTACGTTGTTAACACTGTCCAGTATAGCCGATGCTGTGGTTCATTATGTTGTTAACACTGTCCAGTATAGCCTGTGCTGTGGTCATGACGTTGTTAACACTGTCCAGTATAGCCGGTGTCGTGTTTTATTACGTTGTTAACACTGTCCAGTATAGCCGGTGCCATGGTTCATGACGTTGTTAACACTGTCCAGTATAGCCAGTGTCATGGTTCATTATGTTGTTAACACTGTCCAGTATAGCCAATGTCATGGTTTATTACGTTGTTAACACTGTCCAGTATAGCCGATGTCGTGGTTTATTACGTTGTTAACACTGTCAAATATAGCCGGTGTCGTGGTTTATTACATTGTTAACACTGGCCAGTATAGCGGGTGTCATTGTTCATTACGTTGTTAACACTGTCCAGTATAGCCGGTGCCATGGTTCATGACGTTGTTAACACTGTCCAGTATAGCCGGTGTCATGGTTCATGACGTTGTTAACACAGTCCAGTATAGCCGGTGCCATGGTTTATAACATTGTTAACACTGTCCAGTATAGCCGGTGTCATGGTTCATGACGTTGTTAACACTGTCCAGTATAGCCGGTGCCATGGTTCATGACGTTGTTAACACTTTCCACTATAACTGGTGTCGTGGTTCATTACGTTGTTATAACTGTCAAGAATAGCCAATGTAATGGTTTATCACATTGTTAACACTGCCCAGTATTGCCGATGTCGTGGTTTTTTATGTTACTAGCACTGTCCAGTATAGCCGATGTCGTGGTTTTTTACATTGTTAACACTGTCCAGGATAGCCGATATCGTGTTTATTACGTTGTTAACACGCTCCAGTATAGCCGATGTCGTGGTTTATTATGTTGTTAACACTGTCAAGTATAGCCATTGTCGTGATTTATTACAATGTCCATTATAGCCGATGTCGTTGTTCATTACATTGTTAACACTGTCCAGTATTGCCGATGTCGTGGTTTATTATGTTGTTAACACTGTCCAATATAGCCTGTATCATGGTTCATCAAGTTGTTAACACTGGCAAGTATAGCCGGTGTCGTGGTTCATCAAGTTGTTAACACTGGCAAGTATAGCCGGTGTCATGGTTCATCAAGTTGTTAACACAGTCCAGTATAGCCGGTGTCATGGTTCATCAAGTTGTTAACACTGTGCAGTATAGCCGGTGTCATGGTTCATGACGTTGTTAACACTGTCCACTATAGCCGGTGTCATGGTTCATCAAGTTGTTAACACTGTCCAGTGTAGCCGGTGTCATGGTTCATGACGTTGTTAACACTGTCCACTATAGCCGGTGTCATGGTTCATCAAGTTGTAAACACTGTCCAGTATAGCCGGTGTCATGGTTCATGACGTTGTTAACACAGTCCAGTATAGCCGGTGTCATGGTTCATCAAGTTGTTAACACTGTCCAGTGTAGCTGGTGTCATGGTTCATGACGTTGTTAACACTGTCCACTATAGCCGGTGTCATGGTTCATCAAGTTGTTAACACTGTTCCAGTATAGCCGGTGTCATGGTTCATGACGTTGTTAACACTGTCCAGTATAGCGGGTGTCATTGTTCATTACGTTGTTAACACTGTCCAGTATAGCCGGTGTCATGGTTCATGACGTTGTTAATACTGTCAAGTATAGCCGGTGTCATGGTTCATGACGTTGTTAACACTTTCCAGAATAGCCGGTCTCATGGTTCATGATGCTGTTAAAACTGTCCAGTATAGCCGGTGTCATGGTTCATCAAGTTGTTATCACTGTCAAGTACAGCCAATGTCGTGGTTTATCTCATTGTTAACACTGTCGAGTATGGCCGATGTCGTGATTTATTATGTTACTAACACTGTTCAGTACAGCCGATGTCGTGGTTTATTACATTGTTAACACTGACTATAGTGGACAGAGTTAACAACGTAATGAACAATGACACCGGCTATACTGTCATGGTTTGTTACGTTGTTAACACTGTCCAGTATAGCCGATGTCGTGGTTTATTACGTTGTTAACACTGTCCAATATAGCCGGTGTCGTGGTTTATTACATTGTTAACACTGGCCAGTATAGCGGGTGTCATTGTTCATTACATTGTTAAC